AACCATTAAAAAGTAGTTCCCATCGTCGGGTATCGAACTCCCGATCGCCGGGTGCCCGCACCGAATCAAAAATACGAGGCGGTTTAGTCAACTAGGCTATAATGGATCCACGAGGGCTAGTGTAAAAATAGCATTTAAAAGACTCGGGCAATGGGCGGGACTTATCACAAGAGACCTTGACTGCTTTTGGGATGATATGAAGCGCATTGCTGTATTGCTGTAGGAGCCATGGTTCGCACTGTTTTAATGCGTCTCGAGGTTCATCCCAGCACGCATTCCGATCGCGGCAGTTGAGCTAAGGCAATATTTGCGTATCCATGAATTAATCAATCAATCGAGCTCTGATTTTGACTTCTTTATCCGTAACGAGTCCTCCAGAACAATTTTCCACCTTGTACGATGGTTATTATTTCTTTACTTCTATTTTTCAAATTTGAGGTGGGATAATGGCGGCTTCTCAAGAACACCGAGGTAGGCGATCTTTTGCACCAACGAACAGAAAACTGATGGCGAAAAATAACCAATCAGAACCCTCCCAAAAAAAAGAATTTGCCTAAAAACGGAACTTCGTGGTTCTGCGCAGATTTACCAGTCAGACACGACATCTCGAGGAGGAAAAAAACTCGCTGAAAGCGAATTTTAGCAATCAACACAACTTGACGTAGAGACATGATTGGCTAAAAAATACAACGGTTTTTGATACATCGGAAAATCAACCAAAAATCGGAGACTGGGCGAAACGCTCAAGGTCGCAGAGGTATAGGGAATCCCATAGCGAAAGCAACGGAACGATTGTAATATCATGGGGAACGGTCCCATGACAATAAGCAGTAATTCAAAATACAAGGACAGAAAACGGGGAACCCAAAAAATCGGTAAAATTAGACTAACGCTGTTGCTACTTATTATGACGATTCACTTTAAACTCGTATAATATGAATAAAATACTGGGTTAAAATGGCAACTCAGTGTGCTGAAGCATCTTGAGAAGAAAGTGTTTAACATCGAAGACTGAACATCTATACATGTAACATCAATATATTACAAAAAACGGGTTAAATGGTGACTCTATGTGCTTGAGCATCGTGAGTAGATGCGTTTAGCATCGAGGACTAAAAATCGATATATTTATTATAAAATAAATTATTTTCCTGCTCTAAGCCATTTTTATTTTCATCTTTAAGCATTTTTGTCTTTGTGTGTCACATTAATTATTCAATGAAGAATAATATGGTAGATTCTACCATACTGTGATACAGTGATTCGAATATGGTAACAAATACTAAACACTATGATAAAAATTACCGCACGATAGTAAGTATCACCAGAGTTCGTATAAATACTGCTATAATTCTGATTTTTTCCACTAAATAGTATCACTGCGTAAAAAATCAAGTTAATCTATAAATCTATAGTGGATGTTACTAAACTTTCTTTCACTGTTCCTGATTATGTCGATTTACCTGAAAAATCTTTATGTACAAAAATTCCATTCGTAGTTTACCTTTTGACTCCGCAGAAATATTATAAATAACGTGAGCATGAAGAAACGCAGAGAATCCATCACGAAGACGCGAATCGAAGCGAATGGTAAGGAGATTCGGTATTTATACCCATCCTCCTAATGTATGGCGCCGGCAAAAATGTAATGGAGACGCACATCTGGATTAATTATACGCACGATGAGTCGCAGAAACCCGTGTGCAAAAGTAGATCTGCGGCTTTATAATTTTTTTTTTTCGCGTGTTTCCTTTTTTTGCGTCAAGAATTTCTCCCCTATTCCATTACCTTGGTTCCAGATATACTTCTGCACTTAGAGGTGCCATTTTTGATAAGTTTCGTGTTGAATTGTGACACAAGGTGACTTGAATCGAATCAAGTCTCTACCGTAGTCTGACATGCTAAGAAAAAGCGCCGTATGGGCCTTTAGACGTTGCCAAGTTTCCTTCGATAAAAACCGCGATTGTGCTGGGAAAATTTGTGAATATTTTTTTCGAAACATGTTCGACAATTGTTTACGCGATTCAATCTAAAATATCTGAAAGTTTCAAGGCAAAATGTGTATAAATGTTATCAAAAATACATACTTAATCGAGGGAAGTTTGGCAACTCTCGAATGTTCATGCGGCTTTCCTCCTCTGCACGATAGTAATATGTACGTGGTGCTTCTTAAAGTAGGAAGCTCCACAATGCGGAGCAGGCCCGCCACATCTCATCCCGGGCCCTGGTACCAGTTTTCTGGCCCGGGCCTCTAGCGCAAAGGGAGGTCCGGGGAGCTTCCCTCCCCCTCGGAAAATTTTTGAAGTTTTAAATCTATTTGGACGCATTTTGAGGCTCTTATGATGGAGATTTTACATCAATTTCTGCAGAATAACTCCCCCTTTTTTTTACTTTCAGCACCAAATACTTTCGAATTGTTGCATTCAAAACATCCAGAAATTTTTTTTGAGGGGGGCAGATGATACTTTTCAATTCTAGGGGGAGTCGGGCCCCCCTGGACTCCCCTTTCGTACGTCTATGGCGAGGGAGTTGAGCCATTGAAGTCGAGGATGCCCAGACAGGAGCCTCTAAGCATCCGACAACGGAAGAAAATGAAACGCAGTTACTAAAAATATCATTCTATATAAACCTACTCAAAATCTTGAAAATAGATAGAAATCTCTAAAAAAGTAAGAAAAATTTTATAGCGCGTTAGTGTGTTTTTGAAACTTTATTCACCTTTCGCGGAATTTTTAGGGTAATTTTTTCACTTTTCCTTACGAGACACGGGTTACACATGAATTCGTAGTGGTTTGTCACCTGCGTCACGGGCCCCTCCAGGGCCCGGGCCCCGGTACCAAGGACCCAGTATCCCCCCCCCCTTGTGGCGGGCCTGATGCGGAGAGAGATATTTACCGAGATTTCTCGGTAAATTACCAATTCCATAAATGTTAATTTTACCAAGAAAAAACTGGGATCAAATAGAACCCTAAATTCTTGGTAATTTTACCCTTTCTCAGTAAATACACCGAGGTTTTTTTTTTTCAGTGCATTTGCAAAACGAAAACAAGAAACGCCTGCCTATCGGCTGAGCGCTTAAAAGCTTTCACAAAATGTGGGATGTTTCCAAGTTTTCACGTGAAAATTTGTCGCGTGATCTAGAATAATGCGAGCACTCCGGTTCCACCATTTGCGAGCCTTTTTCCTCAGTCACCTTAGATCTGTAGAATATAGTCTATTCTTTTGTCCGCACCGTTCGCGTGCTGACAGTGGCGTGGCGTGCTTTGCGATATATCGATTGTCATGCCATTGAACTAATGGAAAAGGATCGATTATCAGGGTGTTCGCAGCGAACACCTTAATAATCGATTCTTTACCACATGTTTAAATGGCATGACAATCGATATATCGCAAAGCACGCCACGCCTTTGTCAGTGGCGTGGCGTAAATAATCTATTATCGATATCTCGCCATTTGAAGCTATGGTAAAGAATCGATTACTAAGGTGTTTGCTGCGAACACCCCGATAATCGATCTTTTTTCATAGGTTTAAATGGCATAACAATCGATATGTCGCAGGCAATTAGCAATCGCCGGCAATGTGCAAGTCAGTGGTGAATAAATATAGAAAATCATATAATTCAAAAATAAAAGAACAAGATTAGAGTGTTGATTATGTTGCCTATGGTGTGAATATACACTTTTTCATCCTTAAAAACATGGTAGAAATATGCGCACTCAGGAGAGCGTGCAATGAATTCCGTGACATTGGTCTGGTTGAGATCGGACAAGCAACTAAACTAACATCGTGACAAAGCGTAGAGTATCACGAAAAATGAAGGCGCTTCAAGCCGAGCTCATACTTATGAAGACCATAGTCCTTAATAATTGCATTATGCCGATGCACATTATTGCGATACATCGAAACAACATGTAAACCGCTTGCAAATTGCCGGCGATTGCTAATTGCCTCCGACAGATATATCGCAATTAACGCCACGCCACTGGCGTGCAATAAACTTGATACCTTCACCGAGGATAGTGGAAAATTCCGAGGAGTTTTCTTCGAAATTTTTGAGTGATCGAAGGTCGACTTATCGAAATCCCCCACTATAACTATTTGCTCATCTTATTTGCAGACATGTGCGTGCTTTTGCATTTTTTTTTCAAATGAAGAAATACAGCTAGACTGTGCTACATCACTCATGTTTTTCGCAGAATTTGATTTTTTCCCCGTTAAGAGGAGCAACCGACCCAACTGATCTGCAGACACACAAAAAGACAGGCAGACATAAAAAATGCATTTGTGACTCTCACTTTCCATTAATAGTCTGAACTGCGCACATACTTTCTTGGTGACCAGACGTTTTTCCTGTATATTTGCAATCTCCACAAGTGCACTTTGATCCAGGAATAATGTTTGACTCATTTTTGTATGGGTTGCTCGCACTAAATGGCAGGAGGCACAAAGATCTGTCGATAGCTTTTGATAATCAACAAAACTACGACCCAAACAAGTTTGAGTAATGGCAAAGGAACTGAAAAATTGTAACATTCCTGAAAATTTTCACAAAATACTTTTTTGTTGTTGTTGTTTTTTTATTTTGAGATTTGCCACTGAAAAAAAAGTTCGGTAAATCCGGATTAGTTAGCATGAAATGGAACCAGGCTCTGTTCAGTATACACAACTGAATTTTTTGGTCTGTTCGACCAAACTGCTCGGTTTGTGCAATCAAATTGTTCGGTTTGTGCGACCGAACTATGATAGTTCGGTTGTGTGTACTGAACAAAACCTGGTTTAATATCATCCCAACTAGTTCAGTTTAACGAACTTTTTTTTTCAGGATGGGATAAGAAAGATAATAATAATATGCAAGGCAAAAGTACAGAGAAAGTAAAAGGGTCACAATGGAACAATGACGAAACACATAAAGACGCAAAACACGTATGAATCGCAGTTGAAGTTGCGAAAACTTCCAATCATAGTTTATAGGTACGTATGTACATCGACAGTGAAACTGCTGAATCGCGTTTCTCAGTTCTTAACGCGGCACAGTAAATAGTATTGTATAACCCACAGGAGCACAGGTCTGCCATGATAAGGAAATACGCCGTAAGAGCATTCGAATGTTGCCAAATTTCCTCTCATAAAATATTGATTTTTTAGGAAAGTCAAGCATGCTCTTCCTTGAAATTTTGGAATGTTACGTATCAAATTACGAACCAAATTCTCTGAAAAATTGGAAAGAAAATATTTCTAAATATTCCCGACAATGTGGGCTTTGTCGAAAGGAATTTGGCAACGCCTCATGGCTTATATGGCGTTCTTCGTTAGCACTAGAGTACCAGTGTAGCGAGAGTATGGACAGATCGCCTCATGGAGGGCTTAGGGCCCACAAGTGCAGCCACCCTTCTAACCAACTTCTAACGTACAAAATTTCACTGTCAATCTGCAGAGTCTGCAAATTTCAATTCTAACCCAGATGGCCAAGAATGTACAGAAATGAGCGTTCTTCCGCGAAAATGGGTAAATTTATACAATAACTGAGTCAAATACGTGCTTTATAAACGACGGTTCGTAACAATAGTAGGTATTAGTAAATCGTTCTAGATAATTGACATTCATAGGTTGGCAGCATTTCTGGGCCCTAACTTTATTAGCGGAGGCATCGGTGAAGGCCTGATGGGTTTTCGAAGTTTCACATCCGTCCATACTCTCGCCACACAGGTACTCTAGGTTCTGCTGAAATAGACTGTCCAAAAATCAGTGCTTTTACAGTACTTTTTCAGTACGCTCCCAAGAAATTCAGTACCTCCTCAACTGGAAACTTCAATACTTTTGCAGTACCTCCAATTGACGAAATTCAAAACATTTCAAAAATTTGAATTTCTCGCTCAAGTTGTAACACAAATGACCAAAAACGAAAAAAACCGGACCTTCTTGCAGAATTTCCGCATTTTTTCAGTATTTCTAGACCGCTCTTAAATAATCAGTACTATTTCCGAGCTTTCCGGAAATTCAAGACTCGTAGACACCCTGGTTATACTTTATTCCAGAATATTTAAAAATTTTGAGAGAAAACTAGAAGCATCGGTGAAGGCCTGATGGGTTTTCGGAGTTTCACATCTGTCCATACTCTCGCTACACAGGTACTCTAGTTAGCACGGCAGTGTAGCAGAAACATGTCCAATTGAGACGTCCTCCAGTGGCCCATTGACGCCAAAAAGAGACAGATGTTGGCTGTTGTTGAAATTATGAATGACCGTGAATCGCCGGAGAGGAGTAATTTGGGACCGCCGTCTCCATGACGACGGAGACGCGCTGCTGTGCTCTCGGCGAAGATCCCAGCGCCCGCATCATCCAGTCTGATACCGGCCGCCCGCCACGGGTGTCGCGCGTGTTGCCTACCCACTGCCGAGACGTCGTCACGTATTCGTGGCGCCCCCGAGATCCGCCCTGAAACACCCGGAACTCGCACGAGATGTTAAAATCGCACGGACGTATCTAGGTGTGTGAAGGATACCAGCCGGTCATTCTGCGGTATGGAAAATTATCTCGAAGGACTTGATTTTGGAAAATTGAAAATGGGTTTTTGATTGG